CCAAAATTTATTAAAAGAAATGAAAAGGCCAATAAAATTTGTATAATTTCTTCATTTCAAATTAGTTTTTTAAATTGTACTATTATTTATTTTGATAATATGTTTTAAAAATTTCTATGCTTTATAGTTTTAGATATGTAGAGTTTTGATTTTATTTTTATAATCTTGGATTAATTTTCAAATTTTTCTAGTTTTTTGCATTTTCTAAAATTGTATAAATAAAAAAAAAACAAAAACAAAAATTAAAAAACTCAAAATTTAAATAATTTTCAATATGGTGCTGAGGTGACTTAATTTTAGGATGGATTAAAATCACTTCAAAAAAATTAAGGAGATTTTAAATATCCATATGCTAGTACACTAATTTAAAGGCTAAAATAAATTGTGTCGTCAAGTTCAAGAGTTTTATGTGTAACTTTTTCTAACTTTCTCCGACTACTAGTTTTTTTGGGGGGAAATTACGTAACAAAGTAAACTTATACTATTTAATTACTCATCATAGTTATAGTTTGCTATAATTATCACTCGCGACTAACATTATACATTAATTACGTGGACTGACTTCGAGTTTATATAATTAGTCACGTTCGTGTATGTATAATTCGCCAAAAAATATAAATACATGTGTATAATATACAATTATTTAACCTATATACATATACAATTCACCTCTCTCCTCCCTCTGTCAATCTCGCTCGTCTCTCTCCTCCCTCTCCCAATCTCGCTTGCCATTTATACAAATGTACATGTATAATATACAATTATATACAATCATATACATATACAATTCACTTTACTCTCACTCTCTTCCCTCTCGATCTCGCTCTCTCCGCCCTCTCTCGATCTCGCTCGTCACTCTTCTCCCTCTCCTAGTCTTGGTGGCCTCTCTCCTCCCTCTCCCAATCTCTCTTATCATATATACAAATACATATGTATAATATACAATTATCTAACCAATATACATATACAATGCACCTTTCTGCCACTTTTTCCTCCTCTCTCTCCCAGTCTCGCTCATTTTCTCCTTCATATAACATGTAGCTACAAATTGTATTATCAAATTATAACTATGAAGAGTATTTAATTAATTTTAAGTGGCTATATGTGAAAGTTTTTTCTTTTTTTCAAATGTCACATCTTTTGTGCCCAAAAGTCCATAAGTCAATCGCTTAATTAATTTCTACATATAAGCAAATACTATGTATTGCTGCAAAATCTTTTAATAAAGGGAAAATTGTATAAAATAGCAAACTAATAACTTAAATTAAATAGAATAGCTAGGGTTTGATTTAATTGTGCTCCATAGCAAACATTATCTAAATTTTGCCAGCGTCTCTCTCCCAGGAATCTCGCTCGCCACTCTCCATTCTCGCTCGCCTCTCTCGCTTTATACACAGAAGTGTATAATTTTGTTTCTGTTTTGTATAAAGCGAGAGAAATTGTATATACACATGCAAAAATGTATATCTTCGTGTTATACACTTAATTATACAATTTACAAACATTCTACTTCAAAAATTGCAGAGAAAAAGGCCAACGAATTATACAATTGTGAATTATACAATTGCAGTGAAATACAATTTTCTCTAGTTTTATACAACAGAAGTGTATATATTGTGTTTCTGTTTTTGTATAAAGCGAAAACATATATCTTTTTGCTATAAACTTATAATTATGCAATATACATACATTTTAATTCGATTCAACTATATGCAAAGCAAATTATACAATTGCAGCGAAATAGGCCAACGAATTATACAATTTAGGCCAGCGAATTATACAATTTAGGCCAGCGAATTATACACTTGTATATGTATAGCGAATTATACAATTTTTATGTTTGCTATGGAGCGCAATTATGCAAAATTTGCTATATTATACAAATATGAATTTTTTGTTTGTTATATGTGAAAGTTGCCCTTTAATAAATGGGCATCTTCTGCCACCTTTAAACTTTAAATTTTATATATATATGTTTGCAAAATTCAACTATGACTAAGGCTGACTTTCTTTAACTCGATAAGTTAATTTGGGAAAAGTATTCTCTAAGATCAAAAGTGAATTCGGAATTTAAAGTTTATGAATCATTTTATGTATATATAGTAGATGTCGAACATTCTTTGATTGCTAGGTATGTTATTTCTATAGATTTTGAACTTCCTTAATGAAATTCTAGCTTCATCACTAATTTTAAGTTATTGATAATGTTTACCTACTTATAAATTTTGTAAGACTAAATTTATATATTAGTCGCCGGACAACAGAAAGAATAAGTCATAATGGAATTTTTAAAAAAAAAGATAGTATAACTACAAGCATCGGATTATGATCATAGAAAAAAAGAGAGTAAAAATTATGATAAGAGCTTTCTTTTCGGATTATGACTAGAGGAAAAAAAAGTAAAAGAGTAAAGATTATGATAAGAACTTTCTTTTCGGATTATGACCAGAGGAAAAAAAGTAAAGATTATGACAAGAGCTTTCTTTAACAATAATGATAAAAAGTAAAGATTATGCCAAGAGCTTTCTTTAACAATAATGATACAAAGTAGTGATTATGACAAGAGCTTTCTTTAGCAATAATGATTTTATCGATTGTTTATTTATATATCATAAATGATGTCATTATCCATACTATACAAATTTATTTTGACTTTAGCGAAAGGATGATGTTCTTGACATAGATGGTAAAATCAAATTATAGTGATAATAATAATGTTGATGTACTATAATGTATGATGCGAATTTCGTAACTCATCGCACATATACTCAAATCATATTAATTTGCATAGAAATACACGTGCAACACACTAGTCCAACAATGGGTTTCTTTCAAAGAAATTTGTGGGCCGGAGTTCAAAAGCATCATTGATTGTTGGCATTATAGGATAATCTTCTTGGCAAGGTGCATGATGAAATCCAAGTGTGTACCATAGCACAATATCCTCCTTTTCAATTGATCTATTCCTGCATATCACAACACAAGAAGAAAATACTAAAAAACATTCCAGGAAAGTAATATCTAAGAAGTAGATGAATTTAATTCAGATTTCTTTTTTCAACTAAAACGACATTAACATTAATATGACACGTAAATTTTGGAGGTGTTACGATCCATTTGTAAGTATGAGTATTCAAGTTACATGGTCGATGTGAGTTGATACGTCTAGATGTGCCAACTTAGGTCAAGTTTGAGTGTCTGTTTATGTATGATACCTATTTCATATTGATATAGAGAGACAAGATGATTTTACCTGCCACTCCAGACTGTGAGACCATCATCACCATGACTTCTATCAGCATAAAATCCAGCTGCCCATCTCTCTGACTTGTTGTAAGGAGTCACCCACAGTTGATACTTAGTATAAGCTGCTCTAATTTGAGGATAATCATCATCTGTTAACAAAGAAATTGATGGTCTACTAGGAATTAGCTTATAACCTACTTCATTTCCAAGTTTACTCTTTTTTACAGTATTAACAAACAACAAATCAGCTGCTTCAGTCCCAATTTGCGTCCTGCCTTCAGATTCTGTTTTCATTGTTTCTTTAACAACACTCCAATAACTCTTCCTTGGTGACGTTTTCTGATCTTTCACTCTTGTAGTTTTCAGTTTGGCTTTCAAGAATGAATTTTTACTACCATCCACATCAAGATCAATGCGGTACGTAAGGAAATGATCATGGTTCACTGCAACTATGTTTTCTGCCACAAGAGTACCGTAAACATCCTGATTTATTTGATCTTTGTTCGTGAATTTCACAGCCTTCATCGCCATAATCCCTGTCAGACTTGCCTTCACCAAACGAAAAAGGTTAAATGTAAGACGAAAGATTAAGGTGAAAATGATTTGACTAGCTAATATATAGTATCTTATTGTTTCTTACTCCAACTTTAATAGATCCACTTTGTTTGAACTCCCAATCAAGTATATAGTCATAATTTCCAACTGTTGCTACCATTCTGATCACCAAGTTAACTTCTTTCTGTCCCTTGGTGTTCTACAAAAGCCATAGAGTTAATGATGTTAATAGACTGATCACAACTTAGTAGAGAAATTTTCAGTTTAGAAGCTTATAAATGTTCCACGTACTCCGTTTTCTGTATGCCTCCATGCAGCATCGCCAGCATATCGTTCAAAAATGCAAATAGCTCGAGGGATTTGTACTACTTGACTTTCTGAATCAGCCATGTAACCATCCATATACACCGCATTGTTTGGACAGTCCAATGACGGGACAAGGGTACTAGCCGATCCCCCAAAACCATATTCACCAATATCAAAAAATGTCCTGTAGTACCATTCAAACGTAGGATCCATGTAAGGCACGAATATCTCAGAGGCATGACCTCTATAAAGCACACGTCGATATTCATTTCTCACAGCATCGAATATAGAAGCTGTAGATATGATCATCCCTGCTCTAGTATTGAATCCAACATGAACTTTCCAATTAGCCCAACTAACTTCATGACCTTGGATGTTTATCCTGGAGGATCCTGTTTCATTGCAAGTAACTGATCCCTGGCTCGATGAATTGAAATCAGCATCTCTTGCTTCAGGCAAGGGGGCCCTGAATCTATCCAAATACTGGATGATCTTCATTGATTCAATATCTACTAGTATAGTGATTCCTTCAATAGGCCTTGTCCAAATGTTAGTAGTCCCTCCGCGATACAAACATGGAACATTAAGAACTCTTCTAGTCTTTGCCTGACCAAACCATCCAACTGATAGTGGTATGCAGCTGACTTCAGATATATTCAAGCCCCTTCGTGATATCGAATCTTGAAATTCAGGACTACTCAATGGCAGGCTGATGGCCTGTCTAAGTTCATTGAGAGTAAAACGAGGAAAGCCATGACCTGAGTACAACTTTTGTGATATGATAGAGCTAGCAGCCAAGTCTAGTGTGAGTTCATAGGACTCACCATTAGCGCGAACTACTACCCTGGCTCGACGATAAGGAAAAGAGGCATTGTTTGATTTATGAAAGGAAAGCCAATTGAGGACATCATTCTTTTCTGGTTCATCAAGATCTACATCATGAAATGTTACATTGGAAAGGTGGGATTTTTGGATAATGACTCTAATTTTGTTGATTTCATCAGGATTAAGAGGGTCTAAAGGATGACTTTGAGAGTTAATAGAAAAGAACAAGAAGAAAAATGCAATAAAAATGTGTAATACTTTTGTCAGTTCCATCAAGAAGTGATGCTCTCAATTCATATGATGTTTCCACCTATATATAGTACTAGTTTCTGGGAACGTGCGTTTGCAGGTTTGTCCAATGTCTATTGTTATTATTGTTAAAAAATATATATATTCAAAGGTTGAGTATAAAATAGAGAATGTTGTAATCAACCATTGACTATTAAAAGCATGATATCCGTACCCCTATATAAAATACTCATCTATATCTATTTGAATAGCATAAGTTCTATAGAGCAGTTGGTCGTGACTTTTCTGATACGTTGTGATTTTTTCGAAAAGTTATAACTTTTTTTGATGATTTATGTCTTTTTTAAAGAGTTGTGATTTTTCTAATGAATTGAGACTTGTGACTTTTTTTAATAAGTTGTCATTGTCTTCTACATAATAATGGAAAATAGATCTTTATATTCAACCTTTAATTGTGAATAGTAATGGGCAATTATTATTCAAATGCAGATTTAACATTTATTGAATTGTTTTGGTAAAGTTTAAAATTCATTGGCAAGAAATTAAGTTTTTTTAATTTATGTATAATTAAAATCAATTTCAATAGTCAACTTTCAAAATTTGAGTAGAGAGAGGTAAAAAAGAAAATTTGGGGGAGAACCTAAAATTATTTTAAAATAGTATAATTTATATAAATCACATAGTGTAAGACTTTGAATTACAATATCTTTTTATTATTATTATTTTACAAAAAGTTCTTAAAATATTAGTCATCGGATACACAAGTTTCATTCGACTACATTAATTGTGATACATTATAAAACTTGACTGTTGCACTTAATAAGGAATATTAAACACAAAATTAATTTTATTTCCCACAAATAATACAGGTCTGATTTTATTCCCATCAAACCCCGTAGATCTGATTTTCTTTTTCGTAAATCACGCAGAACCTGATTGATATCAATCCATACCAATCTTTAATAGCTTGACCAAATTTTTCACCTTTTCCATTAATTTGAAATTCTGAATCTTAAATTTGCCATTGCAGATGATTGGAGAGATGGTTCAGTTATATTCAATTGCTTTGATTCTTACAAGAAAATTTGTGTACTTGTGCAGGTTATATCAGGAACTATAAAGATCCTCATATATTGACCGCGATGAGCATTTATTTGGAGGAAGCAATGGGTGATCTAAATCTGAATGAAAACAAGGCTAAGCATTTTGTTAGTGACGATACTTATTAATGAGATCAAGCTTAACTTATTGTGTCTGTCTTTTATTATAATATCATATATTTTGTTGTTCAACTTTGTGAACAATGTCTTTTCTTGCTTTTGTTTTTGCAATAACATGATGATGAGTTTAACACGTCGTGTTTTACGCTTGTTTACATGATTGCAGCACTGAAAGATAATGAAAACATCGAATTGACATGACTCTGGATATTACTATATTGTGAAGACATGTGAATCAATTTATTTTAGTTATTATTTTATGTTTATAGTTATGTGTTTTAATGAATATAAAAATGACAAATGATCAGATCGAGTTCATCTAATTCTTGCATTTAGCAGTAATTTTTATAAATATATCATAGCCAATAATGTGTATCAATAGTTTGTATAAATATATCATCACAAAATAATTGATATTTAGCAGTAATCCATAGCCATTAGTGTGTATCAGATTACATGTGATTGAAAATTTCCATACCTTATAAAATCAAATTGCATATCTTATTCAAAGGAAATCAAACTGAAAACCACTTGATGGGATTGAGAAATATTTACTACAAAAAAGGGGTCAATTTGTGGGACTTTTTGATCTACACAAAATTAATTGAGGCGGTTTTAGAAACTGCCACAATTATCTGTGCCACAAGCATATTGTGTTAGTTTAATAGAACCTCCATTACATCTGTCAGAAAATGAATTTGCAATTTGTGTTAATTCGTAACCTTTTAAATACGATTTCACAGCTTTAGTAACTACACTCTACAAGGGTTTATAGTTGTGTGTTTTAACAAATATAGAAATGATAAATGATCAAATCAAATTCATGCAATTCTCGAATTTAACGGTAATTTTTATAAATGTATCATAGCCAATGATGTGTATCGTTAATTTGTATAATTGTATCATTACAAATTAATGAGTATTTAGCAGTAATTTGTATAAATGTATCATTGTAAAATAATAGATATTTAGCTGTAATTTGTATAATATATCATAGCCATTAGTGTGTATCAAATCACATGAGATTGAAAATTGCATATCTTATTCGAAGGAAATCAAATTGAAAATCATTTGATGGGATTGTGAAATATTCACTACAAAAATAGGATCATTTTGTGGAAGACTTTTTATCGATTTGTGAGAATTTTTGATCCACACAATTAATTGAGGCAGTTTTAGAAACTGCCACAATTACCCCACGAGCATATTGTGACGGTTTAATATAATAATTATAAATATGATACATTGCATAAATCTTACTAGTCGAAGTATCTACAACATTAGGTTGTATAAACATGGTACATTGCATAAAACATAGTCATTGTATCAGAAAATTAAATTACAAAAACAAAATAATTGAGATACGTTGAAAATTTGTGCCTCTGATAGAGACAAACATGATAAGACAGATCTGACTTTATCCTCTCTTTTTTTGTGTGTTATTTCATAATAGATTTAGAAGTTGAAATCCTTCTTCATAAATAAGACTGAATAACATTAAAGAGTGCAGATATATAACACCCAATTGATTTTGGTACTGTTTATATATCCTTTTAAATTTGAATACTATTGAAGATACATTATAGAATTTGATACATTCAAGAGTGTTTATGTATCAAGTACATTTACATTGAATATGATAAACAAAATTGAAGATTCAACAATATTAGGATTTTGTTTCAATATCGTAAAAATAAACATGATACATTGCATAACAATGAAAGATACTGTAGCAATGACATATCATATCAGTGATAACACTTTAAAAGACTAATATATTGTATTAGAAAGTTAGATGAATTCATTATACGTAAATTTATGAATCAAAATCAACTAGATACATAAAAAATCTAAATCTTGAATAGAGAAGGGTGTTGAAACAAAGGCGTTATAGATTAAATTATGAATCAAATTTTTTTTAGATACATTGAAAATATGAAGCTCAGTTAGAGAAGAGTGTTTAGTAACATATTCTACTTTCTCCTTTTTTCTTAGTCTTTATTAATGGATAATTTAAAACTTGAAATGCATATTTCATTGATTTCAAATCACAAACACGGGGGATGAGATCTTCTGTTTGTAAACCTAATTGGAAGACCAGTATTAAACGATGGATTAAAATTCATATACTTTTCATTGTCATGTGACAAATAACTGATCCATCTCTTCTTTTCTATTCCTTTTGCTTTGTATTGCACAATAATTCTTTCTTAAGATCACCCGTACATATCTCATCCATATATATAAAACTTATACATAAAAAAGTTAAAAAGAATTTAGAAAATTGATAATTGATAAATAAAGATAAAAAAAAAAAGTGGACGAAAAAGAAGATTGGAGAATTGAAAAAGAAAAAAAAATTTGAAATATGAAGAAGAAGATTATTGAGCTGGAAAAAAAAAAGAAAAGATTTAAAATTCAAAAATTGAGTGATACCATGGAGTGATTTTAGGCGTGAAAAAAAAAAGAAAATTATTTAGAATGATGTATTTGAAAAAGTGAAAGAAATTGAAGAAAATAGAAATTTTTTCGACTTTCATGTCTTCACTTAGTCATTGATTTAATAATAATTGTTCATTATATTAAAAATAATTATCTACCATACATGTTTAAATTAGAACATCAAGAGATGATTTATTTTTTGTGTCTATTTTACTTTTGCTATTAAAATTATTTATCATCAAACACATTTCTTAAAACATTAAATTTAATAAAATCAAAGGATAATATAATAATATTACCTCTATTATTTATTATTTATTCAAGATATGTGAAATTAATAGCAGAAATTTATTATTTAAGAGAGGAACTAATTTATGCGAACTAATAATAATGTGCACTATCATGTATAACTTTCATGTGAGTCACATTCATAACCTCAAACTCTTTATCGTGTAAAGTTAATGATAATAAAGGGGCTTTATTAATATGGGTTAACGCTTAATTGCTAGAAAATTTGAATAGAAATTTTTTTAAAAATATAATATTTTTTTATTTTTAAAATAAATAGATTTATTTTTCATTTTTTATTTAAAAAGTATGAAAGTTAAAAGAATAAAAATATTTTTAAAAAATAAAATAACAAAGGTAAAATATTATTTTGATCAAAAAGTTTTTCTCCATTAATATGATCTCTCCACTTTGCAGCTTTGCACCTTCTAAAAATATTAAATTTCTTTTATCCAAGATAAAGGATATTATTTTACCACATAAATTATATTATTTATAAGTGAAATTACGAAAAAAATTATGGGAAGCTAAAAAGTTGAGTTCTTTATATAGTGATTATTGGATTATTAATTTAAGTTACTGTAATTATTATATACACAGTAAATTTTATTAAATTAGAAATTTAATTAAGAATTAACTCAAGGAAATTCAAAAGTCAATAACATATTAATTAAAATAATATAAATTTAAAAAATTAAATATTTTATAACATTTTAATTAATAACAAGAATAAAATCATAATTTAATTTTTAATTTTGATACTTTTCACTTTTAATAGATATAGAAAGTTAGAAACACACATGATGATTTGACATTTTGTTATCATTTGCGAGGTTTGATTTTATAGTCCACTAAAAATTAGGTTATAGATTTATTTACTTTTACATGAGTAATATTCATCTTTTTATAACCCCTCCATTTTAATTTATTTTTCAGGTTTGACTTGACGCGAAATTAAGAAAGTGAATAAAATTTTCAAATTTTGTGGTCTTCATTTAAAAATACTTAGTATATATCAAAATATTATTTAATCTTATATTTTTAAAATGTAAATAAAAAGCTAAAATTAAAAAGTTACTAAAAAATAATGAAATATTCTTTTTTTAAAACATATTAAAAAAAAGTAAGACAAACAATTAAAAAGACGTATTTGAAAAAAAATCAATTTCTTCCATTTAATTTGTAGGCAGACATGAAAATCATTTCCTCTTTTATCA